GTAACATTTTCACCTTCATCACAGTAAACTTCTGACCTGGACGGCACTCCGATCGGAATCAGACTGCATATTCCTTCGATGGACAGAGCTTACAGTTGACCAGGGCACTATTGGCAGTTGGCACGATACATCCTTGAGACTAGGATGAATACGCCTGGCAGGAAGGAATTCCGCGCCCCTAAGCGGGCGCTACGTAGCGCTTTTTCCAAGGAAGGCACCCTCATAGAGCCCTATCAAGCTGCAACATACTGACCCGCTCGCCCACAAATGGACGACCATACCTGATGCTCGTATTGCTTCATTTGCAAAGAAAATATGAAATGAAGGGATTGATGAAGCGGCCACAGTGCCGCCTAGATATATACGTACATATACTCGAAATCCCTGAGATCGGGTAGGCGTGGCTGCGTACTTGATTTTAAAATGGCGGCGGCCCAGGTTTTCGTGAGATATTGTCATTTTGGAGCAGTCGTAATCATGTCTACATCTAACACAGAACAAGATAGCAGTTGTTTCAAATTGAAGTATCCCACGAGAAACCCGTCCTATGCCATGCTCAAAAGCCACGCCTACTCCGTCTCAGGGATAAGGAGTGTACGTGTAGCCGTTTGACGTGGCGGTTATTGGTGGCGGTTATTGGTGAGATGCCTGCGGGAAACTCGTCCGAAATTGCTTTTTGAGTCATTGAGAACGAAGGCTTTTCTTCGCAGGTTTTTGACCGTTTCACTTCGTTTTTTCGCCATTTTCCACTATATAGCACCCTGCTAGCATTCTAGACCGAGTACTAAATTATCGTGCCGTACGCAATTGAAGACACTCCCCGCGATCAAGTGGTCCGCGAAATACTCCGTGCATTTGGTATCGTTGTCCGCATTTGCAGAGGATATACCACATTCGCACTCAAAATGGTGAGATAACAAGAGACGCGTGGGTTTTGCAACCATTGCAACCACGATTACTTTCACTCTGCAAGACAACGGCTTACAAGCGGAATTGCGTGTGTGCATAGCGTTGCCTGGAGCGTCGTAGGGTGATTTCCTGTGCTCTTGCCGGGAATCCAAGACGCCGGCCTAATTGCAGAGGGTTTCTGTTCAGAGTGTTCCCAAGTTTTTCTCTTCTTTTCCCAGTGGGAAGTGTTGCATAGGCAGCGTTCATACTTCGCGATCGCCGCGATCGTCGGTACATGGCAGAGCGCGCCCCAACGCTATTACTTGCGCTCCGAAGGCTTTTGGGAAGAAGCGACTCAATTTCATGCTTTTTTCCTTTAACTGCAATTTTCTTAGATACTGAAGCTTGGTTTGACACAAAGAAAGGTGAACCCAACTTAATGGCTTTTGTTTTCTATTTTCTTTCTTGATTCAGGATAGAAATGAGCAAAAAGCGTGAGAGCTTCATTTAGGGTAGGTTTTTATTGTTTCTTTTTTCATTCGTCGAGCTTATACATGAGGTTATAAAGTTTTCACCTGTTGATGTTGCGTAAAATGATTAGTGTTTTGGTTCCTAGGTGAGTTTCTTTCTGTTTCTTTTTTCTTCGTTGTTTGAACTCGACTTGTAAACTATAAATGTTTTGGAAGTTGGAACAGTTCAGACGATAGGAATTTTGAGGCGCTTGCATAAAGAAACAATAAAAACAAAAAAAAAAAGAAGCTCACCCAGGAAATGGAGTTGGCCTTCATCCCGACCTAAAAGAAGTGAAACCTCCTTACCTCATATTCCAGATCCGCTTATGTATAGAAAGTCGTAAGTTATCAGTTAGTAGCCATTATTAAGAGAAAAGAAGGTCTCACAAGTTGGATTTCCTTATTTATCAAGCGAGCAGTCCATAGCGTTGGGGCGCGCTCTGCCACGTACCGACGATCGCGGCAATCGCCGAGGTCGCCGCGATCGCCGCTGCTGTCGCGAAGTATGAACGCTGCCTTATGGCTGTTGGTTCATGAATGAGCACCTGATACCCGTAAACACTTGGTCGCAGGAGTCTTCAAAACCTGAGTGGAAGTGGACTTTGGTCTTCGCCAGTGTACCGGCTTTCAGCAACATCCGTTTACAGTCTCACCATCCCGGTGAAACCTTCTTCGCATGCATTTTTGAAAGTGACTGAATGGAATGCTTTTTTCTTTGAAGGATCCTGTCTAGCTTACGTGAATGATTCAAGCAAGCTTTTCAGCTCTGAGCACTATACTTGGCAGATCGTCCAAAGGGTACGAAGAAGAAGAAGAGACTGAGCCAAGGTCATTTAGTTCGCCTCATAAGAACTAATAAGATATCCACTGGAGTGATTTTTATGTTATCACAGATCGCGGATATGCTTGATAGTTGTCGTAGGGGTGCAGCTCTTAGATGGCGGAGATGCTTGATGGATGTTGTGTGTATGCAGCCTAATGTTGTTGTTCAGTATCTGCGTTGTCAACTTACCTCAGATGATTCAAGAGGGCCTTGAGCGCTGCTTTTCTCCACTTGGGATATTTTCAGCTGCGAAACTTTGGTACTAACGAGACTCTGTGGCATGCTCCCATGATTGGGTAGCAGAGGTATCAGTGTTGTCGGCTGTCACAAGTGGCTCCGTAAGGGTCCGTGGTATACAGTGGGTCGAAAATCCGTATCGTAATAGGGACCTCTAATCTTCGAACTGTGGAAACTGCGAAAACTCTCAGCGTTAGAACACGCCAGGGAAACGTTTTAGCCCTCGCTAGAACACTTGGATATAAGGGTTACAGAATTCTGCGTCTAGTTTTAAGCTGTTATTGCTTCGATAACCGCTGTTTGACGCCGCAGGCGCGGATCCGAAAGCTATCACGAGGATGCTGAGTTCCGCTTAGCGGAAGATGCGAACTCGAATCCCGTCCGCGGCCCGACTTTTGCCCACAACTCAGCATTCTCGTGGATATCTGCGTCTAGTAATATGCTCATGTAAAACTTCTTTGTCATGCTCCGGAATACTTTGTAACTGTCTCAGGAGCCTTGTCAAACGCAAGGCTTCCCCTTCCTCCTTACTTCTTTTCCTTCTTCCTACTTTCCTCCCTCTTCCTTTTCCTTCTCCCTCCAAGTTGCTGGGCGATGAGGAAGTACCTTTGGATAGGATCTAACGAGATCACGTCTGATGGAAAGAGAACCTGTAAGCCTGCGTTTCGCCACACCCACCCGTCTACCAGCGTCCACCAGCGACTACTAGCGCTCCGAGCATCCGGCGCGTCAGCAACTAGGAAGATCTGGCGTCTGCCCGCCTCCACCACCGTCTGCCAGCGTCTCGAGGGCTAGGAGAGCATAGACATCGATCCTCTCTGCCAGCGTCTACCAGTCCATCAGCATTCATCAGCTATCAGGAGTAGAGAGTATGGGGAACTAGGAGGATAGCGAACAGCTGAATTAGACGTCGTGAAATGCAGCGTGTGCAACAGCACCGCACAATTGCTAAAGCATAGAATTATGCGAATCAGTGTACGGTGTAGCGTAGTTGTACGGTGGGGTTGCAAATCCTGTAATTTCACGACGCCTATTTCCACTATTGCCATCCACCTACTTCCCTATACTCTCTGCTCCCGGTAACTCTGCAGGACACTGGCAGACGCTGGCAGACGCGAGCTCGATACCTATACCTCCCTAGCCCTCGAGACCATAGCAGACGTTGATGGACGCTAGTCGCTGGCGCTGCCGGACGCTTGGTACGCTAGTGCCCACTGGTGGACGCTGCCGCAAAGTATGGACGTAGCCTAACCAATTTGGGAACATCGCAATCAGAGTACAGCATTGTGATGTGTGAAATGGTGGTGCCAGTACGCCCCCCGCTCTCGAGGGAGGGTCTTGGTACGACCCTCCCCCCTTCCATCAAGCGGGCGAGCGGGGGTCTATAGACGTGTGTAACGGAAAAATTTCTTAGTTTTCCCTGGATTCCTAACAATTTTCCCGGAATTTTTTGGAAATTTTCCTACTTTTACCCGAAAAGTTTGCTGTCGATCGAGGACGGGGGTGGGAGGAGGAGCATATAGTACACATAAAGTTGGAAAAGACTTCTCCCAAAACCTCGCCGTCTCCCCCCTCTCCCCACAACGACCAAAAACGAATCCCACTCCCAAGCCGAAAGGTACGACTACATATGTATTCCACACAACGATGCTGTACACTGATCACAACGCTGGGCTGTGAGTGGAGGGCGGTATGAGCCTGCCTCTCACTGCCGTGCTTTTTCAACGGTGTTCGGCTAGTGATCGATTTGGGAAGAAAACAGAGAGGTGTGGAAAGTGGGGTCAATTCATCCTTCTCGAAGCCACTCGACTGATGCGAAGTTACCAACTGTATGTTGTAGGACTTCGAACCGGGGCTGCACGATGTCAGTTGACTGCGTGATAAAGTTCAGATTGCTTGATAAATCTTGGGATGCGCCGTGCACGTTAACATTCAGCCAAACGCTTAGAGATTTTCGAACTTTTACCTGATCCGCAGTGAAAACCACAAGCCAGGGCATCGCCTTTGTTCGTAATGAAGTGAGAATTGATCCTTCGGAACGACTCATTTATCCACATCTGTAGTGTCTTTTGATGCTGCCCTAGCTCCACCAACCTGGAAAAAAATATGTAAAAAAAGTCTGACATTCAGCCCTGAGTTTATATAATGTTTCTGCATTCGTTCTGAGGAAACGCGGGCAGTACCTTTATTCTATTCAGCGCGTTCAGCGTGATCTCATAGCTAACATACAAGTTTTTTTTCCGATGTTGTGGTGCTGTTTTTCATTTACTTCTTCATTTTTCTCCATTTACTTTCCTAATCTCTGTGTACGTGCAAAACCTCTGTTCCAACAAAACTTGTGTGGGAGAGAATATTGGTTTGTTCCTTGATTCCACCCCACAAAACATTGCTTAGGCTTAACATGCCTCCAAATGCCCTACAACTTCTAGTAGAACTTAGATATACGGCCCATCTTAAAATTATAGTATAATTCAGATTAGAGCGCTCTTCACCCTATTCACTGTAATTTTTTTCTTGACAAATCCTTTATTCTATTTCAGGCGGTCACTGGTATCAAATGCGCCCGCCAGCAGCGAAGATCGTTCGATCACAGGTTAGTTCCCAAGAATTCGATAAAGAACCTAAAAGGTTGGAAGCACAAACCAAACATCACGTTTGTGTGTACTCGGAATGGATTCCAGTAAGATTGTTGCAGAATAAGATGCCAGACTTATACTTAAAGATGGGTGACACAGCACTCATGGTAGACGGGCAAGAGAACCGTAAAGTCGATTAGAGCACCGGACTTCATGTAGAGCCCCGTCATCGTAGACATTCATGACTATTTTCGGTTCTGAATTGCCTGTTGTCGCCATCTACTACCTGGAACCATCGTCATTTGCGGGCGCGACGTCGCACGCGGAACCCACCAGCGCGGCGAATTACGATTCTCTTGTCACATACCCAGCACCCATATGTACTGTCTTGAGCCGGTTAGCGCTTTAAAGAGAATGAAAACATCTGGCATCACTGCTAAAGGGAAAGATAAAATGAAAACTATCAAGTACCGGCTGGCTACACAGATGTTCATCGCATAGACAGAGTGGTCGCACCAAGGCAGCCGGGTCGGCGGGTCCTGAATACGTGGTAATTAAGGTCAGGGCCAGGTGTAAATGTCGTTTCATCTTAAAGACAAGTTGCACATTCACCCCCAGACGGTCTTGGCCACGTGCGGCGATTGAGTCACAGCTAAAGTAGCGTGCCACTTTCCACGCGCAAACATGCCCAGAATCGGGGCTGAGGCCGCGGTACCCAAGCGCAGCCTCCATACTCGGCGCGCGCTGTCTCGAGGTGCAACGGTTGCAACGATACCAAAGTCTCCTAGTGAAGCACGCTGCAGCAGTAAAAAACCGTCAGAAATGAGGGGGCACAGGAAAACAGCGCGTTTGGCTATGATTAGACGTGTGCTTGACCAGGCAGCGGTGCGAGTGTGAAAATAACATCCGGGTATCGGTACTTTCCAGCCCCGCTGTGCTTTTATGTCCGGAGAAAGTGGCACACTGCTGCAGCTGCGGACCCACTATCCCCACACACGGCCTGGGCTACGATCTACAGAGTTGAGTATCTAATCCGGCTTTACCACTCGAAATAGGTTCTTGGGGTGTGCTTCACAAGCGATGTGGCTTTTTTGCTGCCTCCCGTTTGTATATTTAATAGTCTAATCTGTTCAAGTCGCGCAGGCATTGTGACCAGTCCTGTGCCGTAGACCAGTGAGTCCCTAGCAAGAACCACGAAAAAAGTATGGACTCGCACATAGACCGTCCCAGCGAAATCACTGTGTTGATACGCTATGCTCGTTTAGGTGCCTCTATGGTCCCATATGGAAAACGAGTTCATGGCGCCGCTCATGTAGGTCGGTGAACGTTTATAATGTTATCGCTTATTTTGACGGTTTTACTGCCGCTCTCTTTTTTCTGACTTTTGGTCAATAAACGTCACCTTTGAGCAGGTGAAAAGCTGCGTTGCTCTCATTACAACTATATAACATCATGATGAGAAATCATAGCCTGTCTGCTGACTAAACAACGCTGACTTCCAGGACTTTAGGAATGGAAAAAAAGAATTTCATGAAAGCAAAACAAACAGAGGACGAACTTTTGGATTTTTCAGATGAGGATCGTGAATGCATGAGGATCCTTGGGCAGTTCCCATGGCAAAATCCACAGTGCGTTTTTTCGCCAATCAAATGCCTGTTTCATCCTGAACGCAGAAGGATTCGACGAGGATTTCGCCAAATAAATTGATAAAATACTTGTCGAATTTCTGTTATTCACGACATTTTATTCCAGTGAATGAAATGTTTGAACAAAGGATTGGCCACGTATTTTTTTTACGTATTTTCTTCAGTGAAGTGATAGTTGAGCCGAATTTATGAGGCCACAGTCGCTGTTATTGGTCGCTTCTACAATCGATGTCGCCGCACCAGTAGGGGCGATTTCAAGAGGGTCAGTATGAGCCCACCCGTGACGTTTCCACCAATGACTGATTTCCTCATAAATCGATCGCTATTGACAGAGCAAGGCTGCCGGCGGAACTTTCGCCCCTACTGGTTGCGACTTTATCAGAAGAATCCCACTTTAGAACGAGCTGCTTCAAATTTTCGGCTCGGATTTTTACGGTACAAACAGCAGAAGTAGGGAACAGAAAGGTGAACAGAATCCCCTTAGTGTACTACTGGCTGGATTACGTGACACGCTAGCAGATGGCGGAGCTGTTCGCGTGCCATATTATCCCCCTCAGGTTAGATGTACGCTGGGTTCTGCCAACATAGGAAACGAACCGGCTGCTAACTTTAATAAAACCACTACTACAACTAACTTTTGCATACAAGTAACGGCTTTTTTACCTTAAAAATTTGTGCGCTGCAGACTTTTCAGTAGAATAACCCTTTTTTATAGCGTGCTCTTTGTTGAAGTCCTATTTCCACTATTTTTCAAATGCTCAAAAAGAGAGAGGAGGTTTTAGGTCAACAAAAGTGAGCAGTCAACAAAAGTGAACACTTATGACAACACCTTTTTTGAATTTGACTGAATTATTATTTTGATTTGAATCTTAATTATATTGAGTTGAAAGCCCCGAGGGCCCATTTGCAAAGTATAAGGCGCGCTCATGTATAGTCAGTAACATCGCAGTCAGTCTGGGACAGCGTGAGGAAGGCGGGATGATCCCGCCTACAGCTGCCTTGCTCTACCAATGGTGAGTGAGTAGTGATCGATTCAGGAAAAAACAACCAGTGGTGGAATCGCCTACAGGTGGGGACCGACTAATTGCGACCCGATTAATCGCAGTGGCATCGACTATATAGGGCGCACCTTCGTTTCGAGCTCCGCGAATGGTTCGTAGTCACCTTAATTTTGCGAGTTTTTTTTGTTTGCTGGTATCCATTTCAATAATCTATCTTCAAAAAAGGTATTTGAAAAACCAATTAGAAACTAAAACTATACAAAAAGACAGGAAAGTGTCGTTGTGTCTACCAAATGTTGCGCGTGTTGTCGTGTACGATTCTGTGAAATGCGCCTAGAAAAAGAGTGGAGGGCAAGAGGTGATGTCTCCCAGGAAAGTGCGAAATAGTTACAACGATTCGACGATTTTGACCTATTAAAAGAGCATCGAAGTGAGAGCCTTATCGAGTTTGATTGGGAGCTTAGTGAATCAGCTTATTTACGGGTATTCATGCTATAGTGGGAATTTGTAGGTGTTATGGAAGGCTCCCATATTAAAAATTGCCTTCACTTTGGTATGGGAGAGGTTTGGAAACTTGGTGCATCGGTTCTGCAAGCAGTCGCTCTCCAAGAAGGTGTTCCATGCGATACACATTTACAAGGGCAAAAATTACAGATCTACAGTTTTGCGGTGTTTCTGCAATTCGAACAAGCTGCTTGAAGTTTGTTGGTACGATAAGTCCCTAGGGCGAGTAGGACTAATACGCCTGGCAGGACGGATTTCCGCGCCCCTGAGCAGGCGGAAAAGGCGCTGCATAGCGCCTTTTCCAAGGAGCTCTTACCAGGCCCGATCAAGCTGCAACTGAGCTGCAATTATTCCGACCCGGACGCCCACCGCGCCCGCCCGCCCACAAATGGACGACCGTACCTGATGCTCGTATTGCTTCATTTGCGAAGTAAAATATGAAGCGAAGGGATTGACATGAAGCGGCCGCGGTGCTGCATGGATATATGAGTGCATACTTGCAGCCGTAAGCACGTAGCGGTGTTTGCCCATGGGAAACTCGTCCGAAATGCGTTTGAAGTCATTAAGAACGAAGGCTTTCCTTCGTAGGTTTTTGATCGTTCACTTCGTTTTTTCGCCATTTTCCACTACATAGCGCCCTGCTGGCCTTTCAGGCCGAGTACCATATCATCGTTCCGTTTGCCTTCAAGTGCAAAAAGGTAGTGCTGGAAATTCTCATTCCTGTTGATCAGACAGTTCATTTTGTTGAGGTAATTATTGGCAAAATCAAAGGGAAAACAGGAAATGAAACGGAACATACTATGCAACCGGAAATTTTCTATGAGGCAGCATGAAACGTATCGGGGAGAGTTCTACTTTCACCCTGAATTTCATCTGATAACCATGTCGCTTCTTTGGACCAGCCCCGACATAATGTGAAGTTCTTTCACGATTGAGTGATGTTACTTGTTACGTTACATACATATTTCGATGACCTCACTCTTAAGTTTTCGGGAATTTTCGTGGTGTTGGTGTAACCGGTGCAAAGTTATCCTGCCAATCCAATATTTTTGAAAACTGTCGCAGAGAAGTGGTTTTGCAAGGAGCGGGCACACGACATTCAAGATCGGTCAGTACTAGGGTAAGAAGGTACATGGAATGTTGCTCCAAGCCTTAGAGATGAGGTAGGCATGGTTTCATGCTCCTTTCGAATGTTTCAGGGGCTGCGCTTTTCAACGCCTACCTCGTCGTTAAAGGCACTATCCGCGATAAAATAAGGCTATGACCTTTCAAATGTGTCAGATGATCCGGAAGGGATTGCGGAGGCTGCGCTATC